ATGAATGTAAATGCGAAATCTTAAAACGCAGAAAGCTTCATGGCAAATCTGTCCCGCATTACGCAGCTATTGAACCGGACGGGAACGGCTTGATGATTATCTCTTACAAGCCCTTCAGTTTCATTGCAAATGAACACAATCAAGCTGAAGAGGAGAGCATGGAGCAGGATGAAAAGAGAGGTAATATTTAAACTGATATTTTCTACAGTAGAATTGGGAACAATTTCACTCCAATATGAGCCCATGCGTTTCAAATAGATTCTTTCCTGTACATACTGATATATTCCTTCTCTGCTGGCAGTAGCTGTCCTCCCAGCTTGAGAATAAAAATATATACTTCCTGAGGACATGATCCTTTGTGCTTTACATATTCCTTAAAGTGTACCTGTATTGCTCGTCGGGATAGTACACTGAAACCAAAAGTTAGTGTTCACGTTTTCAGAAAAAAACAAAAGGTGAAAGGACACCCTACACCCTTTCCAGCAGAAAACAATGACAGGGTGAACTAATACTTTACAGTAAATGTCAAGGCAAAATAGAAACACATAGAAGTACATCTCTGCAAAACCTGCGTCTTTCCCCACGTTCTATTGTTATAAAGCATAAGTAAGAGCAGACAAATAAGTGTTGATGCGCCACAAATGCAATCGGCTCTGAAAACGGTAGTATACTCCAAATATGTTTGAAAAAAAGTTAGTTTTCCCCTGCAAGTCAATGTCATAATCTGCTACTATGCATCACATACTAGCACATTATGTGAAACTTGCCTTAAAACGAAGCGTGCTGTCGCCACTGACAGGGCTTCCATCTTCACCTGATCTTCCTTCTTGGTTTGCGGGTTCCAATGGCTTGAATGGGTGAGCCTCGATGATGTCACTCTCGTGCGGGAGTTGTTTTTTACAGCACACAGTTTTGAAGGAACAGCACGAGCATGCCATTCCTTCAGAGTGCATGTGCCAGTATTCTTCATAGGTAAATATCTCCTAAACGGTACACATTTAGGAGATATTTACAGTACCTACAGGTAAGCCTTATTATAGGCTTACCTTGTAGATACAAGTAAAAAAAAAAATGCAGTTTACACCCACTTTTAAATTTTACCTTATTCACGCAGACTTTGAGCACCTTTTTTGTTTGCGGTTGAGCTGCATTTTTACTGCTCTTCAACTTTCCCCCTTCTCGCTACAGAGGCAGTGGCTAGAGATGTACACAAGCCGCTGCCATCATGTTTTGCTTTAAGGCCAAGTCAGAAATGATGAGGCCATGCTGCAATCATCCTGCAACTGCTCATAATGCTTGTGGTTGTCTGGTACTTAGGAGGGTAAAAACAAACCATGAGAAGATGATACAACACCTTCTAACCTCCTGTCTATTGTCTGAAATGTGACGTGAACGCAGATCATGCTTTAATACAGCAATGCAAGTGACGATGAGCCCCTTAAAGCACCCTTCATGTCCCTTTTTGGAAAGCAAGCAGCTTGTTTAAAGTGGCAATTAGCACTCCCATTTACAAACTACAGCTAAATGGTACTTTTAAAAGCTTCAATAAAGCTTGCTGAAAACTCTTCAAATGCTTTGTAAAAGCTTACTGTTCACACTGCTCCTATACAAGCTGAAGCCCATGTGAAACATGTCCCCGTTACGGAAATACACCCTCTCTGTTTGTCCTGCTGACCATTATCTGTAAAAGAATATCCCAAATTTGGGGTTTTTACCACAACAGGAATAGAGGAAAAATCTTTAAACAGAGACACTATGTCACAGAAACCACCGTGACCTGGGCCCTTGGAAGGGCCTGGGGGCCAGCCTCCTTCCCACCGACTATAGACCCAGGACTAAGGAGGCCCCCTCTTGGAAGGAACCTTCTCCCCAAAAGGATTATATCACTTCCCTGGGTATCTGGTTGGCCGTGAATTATACCAGCTACCCTTTCCATGCAAATAGGGCTGGAGGGACTGTTACTGGGACCCCTTGGCATACTGTGCATAGTGGAACTATTATCCTGGAGCAATGTGTTGTGCAATTGGTGAATTCCAGCATATGTGGGGCTAAGAAATTTTATTTTCTGTTACAGGTTTTCTGGTATTGACTGTTGTTTTCTGTAATTGGGTTTAGGTGATAAGCTCTCACTTTGTTTAATGGCCTCCAGAGTCCAGACTGCTAGGTGCTGGGAAGAAATGCATTGTTTTCGAGTTTGATTGTTTATTTATGTAATGTAATTTTCTCCTGGGACTTATGTGTGCCATACCTTTCTAGGGGAAAGTTTTTTTGTTTGTTAATGTAGTCAGTCCTGTTTTACTCCAAGCTGAAGCTGTAGTTTGGCAGAGATCCCCAGTCTGGGTGTTAGACAGTCCCTCACACACTAGTTCCTGTGACCGTGGTGACAACCAGGGATCCATTCACTTTGGAAGGAAAGCTGATGGGTTTTAACTCTCCCTTATACTATCCAAAATTAAAATAAAATTAGTAGGGGTGCACTGAAATTTTGGTGGCCAAAAACACCCCTATCCAGCCATTGACCGCTATGTAAATAAGCTCTGATGCAGGTGCTGAAAATAACCCTACCCCTGCCACCACCCGCCTGACGCCGCCGCTCGGTAGTTCTCAGCCTTACCTGAGAAACCACCGAATAATACCAGCGCTGGGCATAGACATAAGCGAAGGAAAGATGTTCTCCACTCATCTCTATGCCCTTGGAGGACCGGAGCGATGTCACTTCCGGTTCCGGCGCCTTGTAAACTAGGCCTTTTTTTTTTTTTTTTTTTTTTTTTTTTTTTTTTTTTAAAGCACTAGATTAATGCTTTTTTGATCTAATGCTTTACAGAGGAGAGATGTGGGGTCTTTTTGACCCAATATCTCTCCATAAAGAGGGCCTGTCACTTATTTCTATCAAAGGGATACATGTATTCCTTGTGATAGGAATAAAAGTGATTACAATTTTTTTTAAAAAGACAGTGTAAAAAAAAAAAAAAAATAATAATAATAATAAATAATTAAAAAAATGTAAAGTGCCCCTGTCCCGCTGTGTTCGCATGTAGTGGTGAACGCATACGTAGGCATGTGAGGTATCGCCATGAACGTCAGAGAAATAATTTTAACACTAGACCACCTCTATAACTTTACACTGGTAACTTGTAGACATTTTTAAAGAGTCACTCATGGAGATTTTTTAAGTACCGTAGTTTGACGCCATTCCACGAGTGTGTGCAATTTTAAAGCATGATGTTGGGTATCTATTTACTCGGTGTAACATCATCTTTCATATTTTACAACAAAATTGGGGTATATATTGTGTTTTTTTTATTCATTAAAGTGTATTTTTTTCCCAAAAAATATTGCGTTTGAAAAATATATTAATTTTTAAAAACTGTCTTTCGGTTTTCAGCCAAGTGCATCCTGAATTTCCGGTTTCGGCACCAGATTTTTAATTTCAGTGCACCACTAAAAAATAGCATTTAGTTCTACTTAAGCCCTGTTATGGGCTGACAACACATAGCTTTTTTTGTGAACTGAGTCTTGTCATTCCTGCCCGGTGTCTTTTGCTAAACCACTCTACTACTACTGATCTTTAGGAGTGATCTTTGGGAGTAATCTTTGACATAGTTCAGGATGTGTACAGAGGACATGTACTTTTGTATATCAATCGTACATTACAGGACCCATGACTCTAAAGCCTAGTAAACACAATGAGAATATTGGATGAATGATTGTCCTGTTTTTTTTTCTGCATGCTAATCTCCATATCAAAAATTAAGAAGTTACGCAACTTACAAAAATTCTTGAGCGACATAATAGAATTTCGGAAGTGATGGTAATGCATTGTATTTTATTTGTATTGTATTTTCGGATGACTACTGTACTGATTAAGTGAAAATCGTATAAACTGGTGTCGTACAAGAATAATTTTGGTGCTTGTCCCTTTGGTTGTTATCGGCATGAACTGTCATGATTCGGCTCTCTCGATAGCTATATACAATCAGATTATCGTTGATTACTCCTCATACGAAAGTTTTCTACCGATTTTCTTATCGTGTGTATGGGCCTTTATTTATAAACCATGGGTAATATGCAGTCTATTGTAAGGTACTTTCAAGATAGAGTGAGAGAAAGAGGAATACCCAGGAGAAGAGTAATAATGAACATGAGAGCAAAGAATGGTGGAACGGTGAGGCAAGGACCTGCTTTGTGAGGTTGTAAAGCTGACTGCCTGCAAGTACCCTTCTCTGTTTGTAGAGCATTATCATTTAGGGATATCCAGATGCAATTTTTTTTCTGGATTTACTTTTACTTTGGGGCTTGAACAAGGTTTCAAGCTGTTGTACAGAGAGACTAGAAACATTATGGTCCACATATTTTTTAATCTGATAATTATCTAATAATTTTTTTTTTTTTTTTAATTTGAACTGTCTTTGGGCAGTTTTCAGTTTATTTCAAAGTAGGGTTTGGAAAAGTGAACTATTTTTTGTGATCACTATATACAGTGTGTGTGTGTGTATAAGTGTGTGTGTGTGTATGTATGTATGTATGTGTATATATAAAAATATATATATACACACACACGCACTATATTGCCAAAAGTATTGGGATGCCTGCCTTTACACGCGGATGAACTTTTAATGGCATTCCAGTCTTAGTCCGTAGGATTCAATATTGCGTTGGTCCACCCTTTGCAGCTATAACCGCTTCAACTCTTCTGTGAAGGCTGTCCACAAGGTTTAGGATTCTATGGGAATGTATGACCATTCTTCCAGAAGCGCATTTGTGAGGTCAGGCACTTATGTCGGATGAGAAGGTCTGGCTCACAGTCTCCACTCTAATTCATCCCAAAGGTGTTTTTTCAGATTGAGGTCAGGACACTATGCAGGCCAGTCAAGTTCCTCCACCCCAAACTTGCTCATCCGTGTCTTTATGGACCTTGCTTTGTTCACTGGTGCACAGTAATGTTGGAACAGGAAGGGGCCATCCCCAAACTGTTCCCACAAAGTTGGGAGCATGAAATTGTCCAAAATGTCTTGATATGCTGACGCCTTAAGAATTCCCTTCACTAGAACTAAGGGGCCAAGCCCTACCCTTGAAAGACAACCCCACACCACAATCCCCCCTCCACCAAACTTTACACTTGGCACAATGCAGGCAGGCAAGTACCGTTCTCCCAACAACCACCAAACCCAGACACGTCC